TTACACCTGCCTTGCACCAGTCAAAATTTGTTAAGCTGCATGAATGTAGAAAAATTATTTGGTGAAAAATACAACCTCAAAAAAATATGTGTTTTAAACTCAAGAGTCCAATATGTGTCTCCTATGTAAAAGAAAGGGATACATCAAAGAATGACCTGTGAAAGGATTCTCAGACATATTTTTATAATGAATGAACTGAAATTGGATTTTCAGACTATTTAACCCCAAACATTAAATGATCTCATGTGCCTCATCAGATACCCTCAAAAATGGAGCAACTTGAGTTTCCCAGGAAATGAAGAGTGCCTTTTTATTCCTACAGGTCCCAAAAGCCTGAATAGATGAATTCCTAGGTCAGTACAATGCAAAATGGATGGTTTTATCCCAGTGCTTGCATTTGTTCACCATTAGTGGGAATGTAAACTGGCTGAGCTGAAATAGACCTTGTCTCACCACATTTGGGTTTCAAATAAAAAGGATCAGCAGGTAAGGAGAATTAAAAAATAAACACATGGGATGGACACAGTCCTCCTCTGAGCCTTAAATTAGGTGGAAAGGATAGAGTAGCCAGCTAATGGCTTTCATTTATTTAGGTCTTTGCCAGCTATTTTTCCTCCTCGTTTTAAATCAAAAGTTGCATTTAACAGAGGGTAATCAGCAGACACATCCATTTGATGGCACTGAAGGTCTTACCCCTAAATATCTGTAATATTCCCTTGCATTTCCTTCCTTCTCTACACTGCTGTGCAGCACATCCACTGCTCCCTGCACATCCCACACACCTGGAATGTTCTACCTGAGCAAACATTGGGATCTCTGCAACAAACATTCATCTCTGCAGCCAAGAGAGGCCAGGGCCAGGGATCTGTGTAATCCCCCAGCAGCCAGGGCTGCAACCACAACCTCTAGTGAATTTTTGGGCCATCAGGACAGCTCTGCCTCAGCTTTAGAGGAATTAGGGCTCTCCCTGCTCTCTGGTTGCCATGCAGAAAGGGGACAACAATAATGCAGCACTTTATTGTATTGTATTGGTATTTATAGAATAAATAAATGCCAATGAATACCAATACAGATATCCAGAAGCACAATTAGATGGACACCAAGGAAGCAGGAATGGGAGTGGAGAAAGATCCCCTCTTCCCAGGCCCACTGACACTGCTGATAATTGATCACACAGCCCCTGAGGCTGAAAAGCTCCAGCTTCTCTCCTACTTCAGCAGGTGAGTGCACTGTGCTGAGAGAGACAGTAATTCCCATTTTCTCCCCCTCCCCAGGAGCTCCTGAGGTGAGGCAGGATGGGGAATTTAGGAATCAGTACCACTGTTAGCATCATCATCATATCTGTCAAAATTAGTTAAGCTGCTGAATCGAAAAAAAATAATTTGGTGAAAAAAACAACCTCAAAAAATACGTGTTTTAAACTCAGGAGTCCAATATGTGTCTCCTATGCAAATGAAAGGGATACATCAAAGAATGACCTGTGAAAGGATTCTCAGACATATTTTTGTAATGAATGAACCAAAATTGGATTTTCAGACTATTTAACCCCAAACATTAAATGATCTCATGTGCCTCATCAGGTACCCTCAAAAATGGAGGAACTCTTTGACTTCAGCAGGTGAGTGCACTGTGCTGGGAGAGAGCCATTAATTCCCATTTTCTCCCCCTCCCCAGGAGCTCCTGAGGTGAGGAAGGATGGGGAATTTAGGAATCAGTGCCATTATTAGCAGCATCATCACATCTGTGGGGCATTAAAAGTTTCCTGAATTGTTTTCTTCTCTTTCAACATATCGAATCTCTCTGAATATCAATGTGAACACAACTGTTTCTAATTACACCACATCCTGTTTTAATTGACTTTAATTGCTTGGTATGTTAATTTGCATCCCAATGCTCGAAATGCTTTTTTTAAACCCTTGTCAGAGCCATGCCAATGTTTAAGCAGTTGGAAACAAAATAAAAATTTCTGGCAGGCGAATTTTTGTACCAAGTTCTCCTCTCACAATGTGCTCAAAAGAAAAATTTACAATGATATTTAGACATACAAGTAGGTGGAAATGCACCCAACAACTCTGAACTATCCTTGGGTGCTTAACTGAAAGTACATTGGAACCAAAGATCTTGAGAATGGATATTTTTTATTTGCTGTCACGAGCTTTAAGTATCAAAGAATAGGAAATATGTTGAGTAGCAAATAATGGAAATTTAAATACCAAAACCTTAAAGAAGCTTAGATGTCACTCAAGGTTAATATATAGATATCCAGGTACCTATGAAATGATTTCATAAATCATAAGGATTTTTATAACTGAGCTAGATTTAAGTTTTATCTTTTCACACCTAAATATCTTAACAGATATGTGCCTGTGTTCCAATTTGTCCCCTGGGACTGCTGAACTTCTCGTCCTAAATGAAAAAGTGTGTTTGTGAACACTCCAGGCAGATCATGCTGCAGGGTGAGGGGGATCAGGCTTTCGAGGAGAAGTAGAAGAAATTCAGGATAACCCTATTCAGAATAAGGAGGAAGAATTCCATGTACTGAACTGAGCCCCAGCCCATGGAAATCTCAAAGCCCCAAATCAGATTTCTTTGGCCAAAGCTCCCACAGACCACACCAGCCTGAGCTTCACACTCTTCCCCACAGCAGCACGAAGCAGTGAACCTTCCTCCTTTGCTTGGCTCTTGCTAAGAACACACGACCAGAATTCCTGAAATAAATATCCTTTGGAGGCCAGGGAGGTGATGGAATTCTCCCCTGCAAGCTGCAATGTTCAAGCTTGTTTGCACTATAAGGAACCAAATTTTATAAATGGGATAAAATGTATCTTGATGCTTCAGGAAATTACTGGCTTGCTAAGCCCTGTCCCCTAAAATCCTCTATTGCTCCATTGGGCTGGAAGCATGAGGAATATCAATGCAGGAATTGCCAGAGATTTGCCAGAACTCACTATTTAAGTGTTTATGGAAAATCAGACCTGCCCCCATGCCCTGCTCATCCTTATTTTTCACAGAGTGTTTTACGCCTTGTGTAATTTAACTTTATTTATTTATTTGCTTGAAACCATGAGCAGAGTGAAACCCCAACTGTGCCCACACTGCACTACACTCCTGTGTGGAGAAACTGCTCAGGAACCAAAAATTCACCCAGTGATGCGAGAAGGAAAAGAGTAAATTTTATCCAGGAGAAAAAATTGGCACAAATATAGAAATATAATTATCATATCCCTGCCTGGCAGCTCTGCTGTCTGAGTAGCCACACACAGGAACCACCAATTTGAGCAGGATTTCCATCAAAAGTTTTCAAATTGTCCCACAAGGCACAGTCAGACCAGATTTGGCCTCACTGATATTTGCTAATTTCCCACATTCTTACTTCCTAGATGGTACCAGCAGATGATAAACAAGATAAAAGATTTTCTTTGTCAACTACCATGGGATAGTGTGAAATATTCCATGCAGCAGTTTGGAAAAAAGGCTTTTGTTCATCTGACCCTGCACCATCTACAGAGCTACAAGAGACAACTGAAAATGGAGATTTTCCACATTAACTGGATTTACAATGGTATAAAGGAATGACAGCTGATTCACAAGATTTTTAAAAGCACGTCAAAAGGGGGGAACATTTGAGGTCCACCTACATTTTAAAGGTAAAATTTTAGACGCAGAGAAAGAAACACAAGCAAAAACCCAAGAGAACACCAGGTAAGTGGGTTTGTACAACTGGAATGAGGGAAGGGGGTTAGAACCAGCACAGTGGCTGATTTTTCTATTTTCGCTGTGTGTTTCATGGATTTATTCAGCATCATCTTCTCTTTGTCATCTTTGTTTATCCAGAGAGGGAATCTTGCTCCAGAATAATTCTGCTAAACCATTCTTAACCAGATTGCCTACAAACTGCAGAATCCCCTCTAAATTACCATGAATCATGTGTGAGTGCAGGAATAAATTCAAATCCCAACAGCTAAGAAAATTTCATGAGATTTGAGGTCTGAGAAATAAGAATGCAAGAGGAAATATTCATTGTCAGTGAGATGAGCCTCCAAAGAGGGGCCAGGAGAGGACACTGGGTGAAGGGGTGGGAGAACCTGAGTGATCACAGGAAGCAAAAGATTCCACATGAAATAATAACTGCAGAAAGGAATAATTCCAGCACCATATCACACTGAGGTCATTGCCTGGGACACAGAAAAATCCCTACCTGGAAGAGCTGTGCAAGTCCCAGGTTTTTTCCACACAGTGGTGATGGCAATAAATAAATAAATGAAAGTCTGA